ATTCTCCACCGCTTCATCAGAACATTAACTTCTACCTTACAGAGGTGAACATCCCTTTCAGCTCATCATTTTCCTTGGAAAGTGCTTCCACTCTCGACTTGGCCTCGACTTGCTTTATTTTGGAGGCCTCGATAGCCTCATTGGCAGAAGATGCCTAAGCTTTAGCACATTTATTGTAGCCCTACCATCCGTGGGTTTCTGAAGAAGCTCCATATTGTAGCTCTACAGCTGCCTCATCTCTATTTGCACGTTCAAAAGAAGCCTTGAGAACGAGCCTGCGGGGCGAGCCCAACTTCCACCATATCCTCCGTGTCGCAAGTCTCCGCATACGAGGAGTACCTATTAGTCCAATATTTATGATGAACCCTCGTAGCCCCCTAGGCCTCATCAATGAGCATTTCCATCACCGGAGAGGCTATCTCATCATTCCTCCCACCCAAAAAGTTTTGGTTTTTCCGTTAGAGAGAACGTTCCTAGTCTCCCTAACCCTTTTTCTTTTCACGAGGCTCTCCTCCTCCTCAGCGATCTCCTCCACATCAACAACTTTTATGGAGAAAATGGGCTTTGTAGTAATTGGACATAAAAGCCATTCACCAATGGTCGTTTAGCATTTTGGGGGAAGGGGAGGCCCGACATTCTTCTTCAACACCAACTTTCTCTTCAAATGCCTCTTATCTGAAGGCTCAGCGTCCTCATTTTCTCATATCTCTCCATTTTTCTCATAATGAGGTGGTGGGTTCGCCTTACATAGACGAGTCAATTTGTCCATCTGACGCTTGCAAGTATCAGAAGAGGAACCCATGGGTTGCTTCTTCTTCGCCTCGCTGAGGCCCTCAAGAAAAGTAGGCTAGGCTTAAAATACTCTTTCTTGTCGTGCTGGCCTGCAAACTACAATGAGGGGCGCTATCAACCAAACGTCAACAAAGCACAATCACTAAAGATGAACAAGTAGAAGCCTCATTAACCTTAGTAGCCATCAGCTGATGCGTAACAAAGAGGTTTCGTTTGGCAATTATATTTGTAAAGTGCCTCTTCTTTGTAGGCAGCTCGTAAATGGCCCTTAAGATAGTCCAGTCTGAAGATTCGAGCTCAAACCTACTAAATGTAGCTGCACAAAAGCACACATTAGATGTGAGAAATCGAAGGCAATGGCATAAAGAAAACATTGTCGTGACTAGGGCTAAACTCACTATATTCGTGATATTGGGTTGGCATAGTTATCTCTGGGGCCGCATCTCTCTCTATCGTCTGCCAACGACCCCTAACCCAATATTAAGATGACTTTCAATTTTTGATAGAGGTCGGAGCCCCCAAAAGAAAGGACAAATGCGAGGTTCATGCAATACCACCTCTTGCAATCGCTCCCTCGACTCGAGGTTGGAAATGGGTCTGCAAAACATGGGAAGGCATATCCTCGCTAAGGGCGACCTCCTTCCAAATGAGGAAGGTCCCTGCAAGTTGGCTCCATGCATTGGGTACCAATGGCGTAGGGGCTAAATTATACTGGTTAAGAATAAATCTGAAGAAGGTGTGCAAGGGTAGCCTCATCTCCCCGGCTAGAATGGCCACGCTCATCGCCAGGCACCCCTCTCTAGGAAAGTAGACCCTCTCCTCTGGGGTTGGCATGAACATTTCTACATTATCTGGGATCCTATACCTCTCCTTGAAGGTCTCTAACTCACCCTCTTTTATATTAGATGGCTATAGAGAAACCCCCCATCTAATGCTATAATCTATAGGGCCCTCCTACATCATCCATGCACTATGGGGTCCCCCCATCTCCTCCATGATCCTTTCGATAGGAATCACTGGAGGAATACCCATCTCGGCGCAAATTAATGCCATGTTCACCTCAGAAGACCCCTCAGACACGTTCATTTTCAAGGCAGAAGCTATCTAAGTTAGCAGGTGATAAAAATGCATCGGTAATGGTAAATACTCACACAAGATATAAGGTCCAAGATCTGGAATGCAGAGAAGATGAGAAAGAATGGGGTTGATTGTCAGACGCAGCAAAGAAATGCTAAGGAAAGCAGTAATACTTTTTGCAATAAAGGGTTTGAAACTTTTGTAAAGTGAAGAAAAAGGGAAAAATATAGGTTTTCGGCCTTATATATGAGTAATGAATGAACCTTCACCGTTGGATTTTCTTCCACTTAAATCTGGGCCATCCATCTGTAATCTTAGCTGTCACGTTAACTTCAAAGGGCCCTTGATCGAAGTTCAAACCAAGGGCCAATTAAATCATTATGGCACGCCACCTAGCAACATCCAACGGCCTTGCCTAACAGTTGAATAACCTCACTATAGGCTCCGGCTTTAAAGAGGGTCGATTGATTCTCCAATGGCCTCGCCTAACAGTTGAACAACCTTACTATGGGCTTCAGCTTTATAGATGCTTGGTAGATTCTCCAATGTACTCACCTACACTCTCTAGCCTTACCATAGTGTTCAATTACCGAATGGGCTCACCCCTACTTTCAGAGCCTCGTCATGTGCCCCTCAACCCCGTCACCAGTTTCAATTAACAAAATCCTCTTTCTTAGAGACCAGCAAGTCCATGCATTATATAAATAATCACACCTGGACTTCGGGGACTGTTGTTACTCATATAAATGATCGCCCCATATGTGGCGGACGGATTTGAGGGTTCTTACCTTACGTGGCAACATAGGCGACCCTGTTATAAGATGGGAGGCGACCTCTTTCATATGAAGTGAAAGTGAACCGAGCCCATTTGGACAGACGCTTGCATAGAAGCCGATTTTGGCGAGATGATGACAATGTCCATAACAGATCTTGTGATGAAGTGATTGACAAGACAACTCACAGCCAACGCCGCCTCTGCATGCCTACACGGTCAAATCCCACTTGCACAAATCAGAATTTATAGATACGAAAGGGATCTTAGCATTAAATGCCCTAACCGATTGACTGATTGATGCATATAACAAGAAGGGCCAATCGATTCTGATGAAGCCACGTGTCCTATTATCCGACGAACTTTCCCACCCAAGTATAAAAGCCCACACTTAGTACCATTCAAGGTTAATGCAAGTTTAGACTCTCAATCCAATATCCTTGCTACACATTCCTAATACTTTATCCAAAGCCGACCTCTTTTTTTTTTCAATTGGAATCTCTTGTTCTAAAGCTCTCCCACCTCCTAAATAATTCCTCTAACTTGGTTTAGCCATCTTAACCAACAGCTGGTCCAAGTGTGTTAGGATTTAGCTTACGTGGATGCGAGAAGTTTTGGGGATCTGTTGGCCACGTCATTGATACAATTTTTGAGGTCAACGGATTTTATTGCGGTCCAGTTTAATGGATTTATTGCAGTACTGCCATGGTAAATAGCTTTCTTGCTCATTTTGTTGGTGGAACTGAAAACATAAACATTTGAATCATAAACATGTTTCTTCATGGGTCAAATCTTGAACATGCTTTATGCTTCAATAAAAGCATTACTGATGTTTGGAAATAAATATTTCAATTCATAGCCAAAATATAAATGTACACCAACTTTCAAAACAAATTTAGTGCCTATTACATAAATATGAAAAATACACACAAGTCTTTTAACCGATTACATAATTGGATCAAATTCACGGAGATCTTCTTTGTGCAACTTTACACTTTTTTCAATCCCCCTAATTACAGCCCTTCCTTCCGCATGTATCCAGAAATGCTTGAACCCTTTTTTGAAATCTAGTAAATAGATGCTTTTCATGCCTAAGATTTTCACTTTCAGCAACATTAAGAACAATCCATATCAAAATTGTCTGTCAATGGCAAGACCACAGGACCTAACAAACCATGTTTGTTTTTAATGCTTCTCCTGTTACATTCACGATTTTATTCGATATGGACACTCCTACTTTGTTTTCATTGTCAACTTCCTAGAAAACACAGGCATAAGATTGATCATCTCCTATTCGATTTGAACTTGCATTTGATAATCAAGTCTCAACATCAATGTAGCACGAAATATTCCAATTGATCACAAAGCCAATATGGATTTGCCACCTGGAGGAAAAATGGGCTAAATGGTCAGACAAATTTGAAGTTAACCCTGTCATTTACCATTCTTTTGGGAGTGATACATTCTCAAGTGATGATCAAATTAAGGAACTAGCTTTAGGGCTAGAATTCACATGTCTTCTATTAAGAAAATAAAAGGATAGATTCAATATAGAAACTATATTGAAGGAACTTGATGAAGAAGATACGAAAAACACTTATTATTCATCAAAAGCTCAAGTGATAATGGAAATACATTGCTCTATTTATAGAGTAAAATCTAACAACCTAACTACATAACAAATAGAAGAATGATCTAGAATAAGCATCTAATAACAAATAGGAGAATGATCTAGAAGAAAGATTTAATATTGGAATATTCTAACACTCCCCCCTCAAAATGGAACATCTTGAATTGTAGAGAAAAGAACAGGATGCAAGAGAAGCCGTGGTCGATAATAATGTCCAGCGGATAAGCAATCCAGAGAAAAACAACTACATAAATCAACTGGAATAAGTGAGTATCCATGGCTCTAAAATCGAGCATTTGCTGAAGACAAACATCATCAACATTGATGAGTAAAAGGAAAAGTGGAAATGCTAAACAAACTCCAGCAATATAAAACTGGATGGATTATGACCACAAGGCAAACTCCAATAGCCATTGAACTGCTGTAATAAAAAGGAACCCATGTCATCGTCAGACTCCTCAGTCGGTTCCTCTTTCTTCTTCTCCTCGGTAAATGGAGCCGGTGCACTACCACAATCAGCAGCTGTAGCCAGAACTATCTTTCCCAGAAAATACTCTTCTATTTCTAATTCTTGTTCGAACAGATATCCATTCATCATTAGTATCAACAATTTTTGATGGATCATCATTAGAAATCTGAAGACTCAGAACAGCATCAACTGCAAACTTTCCATATGATTCATGTGTGAAAAAAAGTATTGGTCATGGAGATAGGAATGAGTTCATCCCCATGAAACTACCATCTGTGCATCTTGGCGTAGAGGAAATTGGTACAGTGAATTATGAAATTGCGAATTTGATACACTGGAGGAAGCATTTCGGGAATGTTGTGCTTATAATGTTCTACAATGGACCAGTCGAACGAACTGCTTTGGAATGGAGATTGCTATATGGTAGGATATTTAAGACAGTTATCATATTCCCAAGGCAAAGAAATGTAGATCTTGCTGTGGAAGAAGGCCAGTTGGACCATGCTTACAATTATCTGCCGAAATTATTTGATAGATATAATGGTGTAGAAGGATTTTTATTTCTTCAGGATGATACTATTCTTAATTACTGGAACTTGTTGCAAGCGGATAAGACTAAGCTCTGATACCATATTAAGAAAATAAAAGGATAGATTCAATATAGAAACTATATTGAAGGAACTTGATGAAGAAGATACGAAGAAAACTTATTATTCATCAAAAGCTCAAGTGATAATGGAAATACATTGCTCTATTTATAGAGTAAAATCTAACAAACTAACTACATAACAAATAGAAGAAGGATCTAGAATAAACATCTAATAACAAATAGGAGAATGATCTAGAAGAAGGATATAATATTGGAATATTCCAACATCTTCCATTTTTTGTCTTCTTAAATTTTCCTGCAAATGTTGATGTCTGAGCTGAGCTAAAGATGGCACTTCCTCAAAGGTTCTTGGAAAGAGTGGAAGGAATATGAATAATTCCTAGTGGTGGGTCTTGCAGCAGTAGATTTTGGTCCACAAAAGTGTGGGTTGTTATTTATGTCACGCAGGATTCAGCTCAGTGATTGAGGCTATTGTGAATGACCGCCGACTAGTTATGTTACCCCAAAAGGGCGACCAATTCGTGAATTCTAAGCTAGTACATGGAGACCATAAGGCTGGAGTGAAGGTATAGGTTATTTGTAGCCATGTCAATGAGCCGAAACTCAAAGCTCGTGCTCGACTTGAGCTAAATAGTTCCGAACTTTTTTGGGCCCGAGTTGTTGGGCCAAAAAAATGAGACTCGACCCTAGCCGGCTCGTGTTTTTTTTAATTCGTTATAAATCTATAATTTTTTATAATGTATTTAAAATTTGTGCAATTTATACGTATTATAAATAATAATTAAATATTAATATATATAAAAAATACATCTAATCTTAAAAAAAAAAAAGACGGCTGCTTGCGTTTTTTTTAAATTTTTTTAAGACTCGGTTTAGCCAGTAACATGGGCCGGTGACGAGCCATAGGCTAGTTCGGGCTCGAGCCGATGCCCCAAAATGGGGCTCGGCCCGAGCCTCGGCTCGATGTTATTGAGCCACGAGCCGGCCCGACTTGGGCTTTTTTTGGATCGAACCCAAGCTGCCCGAACCTTTTTGACATCGCTAGTTATTTGGAAAAGAGGATATTAAGATTGTTGTAAAAACTATTTAACAATATCTATATAGTTTTAAATGTTTGAGATTGTGAGCTGGGGTGAGATGGGGAAGAGATTAAACCCTTGTTTGACATCCATTTTTTTTTCTCATTCTCCTTCTCTTTCTTCATTTTAATCACACATTCTATCAATAAAATAATATTACACATAATCCCAAAAATTCTCCTTATATTTTAACCACACATTCTTCCATTAATCACTATTCTAAATCAAATTCTTTCATAAAATGGGTGTCAAACAAGGGCTAAGTGAAGTGGGGTGGGGTGGCAAATAAAGTTTTAAAAGTTTGGAATTGTGGATGGCACATGTAAAAAAATTGAGTATAATTTGTTAAAAAATAAAAAGTATTAGTACTGAAATTTCAATTGTTCTTTTTTAATTTTGACAATTTTTACTGTTTTTACTTCACGACAAGAGGGCTTTTCGCATGGGGAGTGTATAGATATGAGTATTATGGGTTCATACATACTTAGCCTCTGTTTGGGAGCCATTTTGGCCCAATTTTAATAAAAAATGTGACCATTAGAGGTTGTCAGCAGGACCCGCTTTCTGCATTGAGTTCTGACTGCATTAATTCAAAGTTATTGGATTGCCATTTGTTTAGTTAATCTTGATATTTTGTACAAGGGTAAACTGGTCATTTACAACATTTAGTCAATAAAAAGCTTGCCACTCCCTGACACACTTACTGTATAACGTTTATATTTTTTCTAGAATTTGGAGGAACAATGGCTCCCAAATAAAGGCTTAAAATTGGAAAACATACAAACCTGTACATTGTATTTATTTATAGCTCTGAAGTGCAGCGGGATGACAAAGCACTTTAATTCATAGTTACAATGTTAAATGGGGTTTTGAAGAAAAATTGCATTTGGACTGAGCGAGATTTTTCAATGATAGAGTTACTACAGTTAGGTTCAGCAAGTTTGGAAATTTGCAGGCCTATCAAGTTGCAAGGAAAATTGTGGAGATATTTAGTGTATTAGACGAGTCTGAATCTAGACGTAAAGCAAAAAGAAGAGTTAATAGAAAGAAGAAGAAGAAGAAAGCTTCTAAATGGGCAGGCGAGACTGCTGAAAATGGAACTATCGAAGATGAAGTTGGTAATGATATCATTGTTGGAATTAATTGATAAAGTGTTAAATAATTAAATGTGATATTTAATTATGTGGGTCATTGAAATTAATTTGGGTGAATTGAAAAAATCTCCAATATAGGTTTGATACACTGGAGGAAGCATTTCGAGAATGTTGTGCTTATAATGTTCTGCAGTGGACCGGTCGAACGAACTGCTTTGGAATGGAGATTGCTATATGGTAGGATATTTAAGACAGTTATCATACTCCCAGGGCAAAGAAATATAGATCTTGCTGTGGAAGAAGGCCAGTTGGACCATGCTTACAATTATCTGCCGAAATTATTTGATAGATATAATGGTGTAGATGGATTTTTATTTCTTCAGGATGATACTATTCTTAATTACTGGAACTTGTTGCAAGGGGATAAGACTAAGCTCTGATACCATATTAAGAAAAATAAAAGGACAAATTCAATATAGAAACTATATTGAAG